AAGAAAGAAAGAAAGAAAGAAAGAAAGAAAGAAAGAAAGAAAGAAAGAAAGAAAGAAAGAAAGAAAGAAAGAAAAAAAAGAAAGAGAAAAAGGAGAAAGATGTAGAGAAAGGAAAAGGAGAAAGAGAAGGTGTTGAATTAATTTTCTTTTTTAAGAACTAGCTTTTTCTTCCGGATATATCTCCCAATCTTTTGTACAATTCAAACTGGACATATTTACTGCAGGGGTTGGAGAAGATTCAACAGATGAACTGTTCTTTGGTCTTTTGGTGGAGTGCAGAGCACAGAAACTTTCCATCGGGGTAGAATCTGCATCTTTTCTCATTTCTCTCTTGCCTTCTACATCCCTAGTGCTTTACTCAGCCTGACAGGGCAGGTGTCTGCCACTGAAGAAGGGAAAAAGCTGAGAAAAGAAAGGAAGGCTGGAGTCATAATTATATCAAATTTAATTGAGAGCTAGTGGTCACATTCCTGCTCGAAGAGGCTTACAGTCTCTACAGCAATGTTTTTCAAACTTGGCAACTGTAAGATGTATGGACTTCAACTCCCAGAATTCCCCAATCAGCAAGAATTCTGGGAGTTGAAGTCCACGCATCTTAAAGTTGCCAAGTCTGAAAAACACTGCTGTAGAGCCTGTTGACAGAAGGGTGACAACAGAAGACAGTAATGGAAGAAGAGATAATGCAAAGAGATTGCATGTAATGTCATTGTGGAAGATTTAGCTCTGCTCTAGTACAAACATCTCTGGCCTTTATTCAGTAGTTCATCCACCATAGTGGGACCCAGAATTAATCTAGGTGGGACCCCAGTTAATCAGTCAAGCTTTAACAAAGTCATATCATAGAAATTAATTATAGAAACAGAACATGTATAAACATATCTATGTCTTACCTAGGAAAAGTAAGTTTTTAGTTTCTATCATAGGAGACTGGAACCCAAGTTTATTCATTTATTAGATTTATATGGCCACTCAATTCACAAGAGCAACACTGGATGACATATAATTTAAAGAAACATGAAAACAAAAATAAAATACAATGCAAAATTATATAATATACCTTCATAACATAGAAAAGAGCAGGATAACAGAGTTATGGAAATAATAATAACAGAAGAAATGGAGGCCAACCAACAGCTCTCATTCAAAGCTCTTACATTCTACACAGGGTTATTTCACAGTTCAATAGGGTATTATTTTACAATTTTATCATTTTAAATTACCCTATCATTTAAAATGGAAAAGTGACCTAAAATATAAAAAGTTGAGCATCATTATCCTAAACAATCCAATGTCTAAATCTTGCATGGATTTTCTTGTACAAAACTGGTCTGCATTTTATTGATTGATTGACTGACTGATGAAATATCTAGGCCGGCCCAGTCTGCCACAATTGTTACAAATTTGCGTTACAAATTATTTCAATTTATTTATGCTAGTTTTGCAAGTCCTAGACCACATTTATGCAAGGCACTTAACCACACCCAAGAATTATAAAATGTGTCCTGTTGAGTTAAATGAGGTTTATTTTTAAATGTGTAGAGGATTGCAGTTTAAATTAAAGACATAGCATTCCAATACTCATCACCTACATAATTCCTAGCTTAACTTGGGTATCATAAGAATATCACTTCCACTTTTATTCTGAACTAAAAGAAATTCTAGAAGCTGAATTCTGCTGCTGATATTCTATCATATCCAGTTTCCCCCTCTAACTCCCCCCATTCAGAACTGAGCTTTCTGAACTTACCATTTAAATCATCACCAACTTCTGAATATGGATATAATTGCAGGTTTATTATTGTGTCATCATCGTCGTCTTTCCTGTCGCCAGCAGAAACTTCAGGATCCCTCTGAGTGGTGGCTTGGATCATTTTAGTACTGCAACGCTGTTACTGTGTCTGCAGGCTTGTGGACACTCTGAAAGTGCAAACAATACAGTGAATGAGATTGGCTTGCTCGGAGGCTTGGTGGGGGCAGCATGCCAGGCAGGGTAGAAACACAACTAACTAATGGATGAAGGAAGACATAAAATAGAGACGAGCTTCTAATTAGCAATGGCCAAAGAGAAAGCAGTGAAGCAATTCCAAACAGGAGTAAGCTCCCCGAGCAGAAGAACTCGGTTTGAAGACGCCATTCTTAACTCACCCCACTCTTCTTGATACTTCATTAACCCGGTTTTGGAAGGATGGATACCCAACGATCAAACTATGATCGTCCTCAATCCCAGCCAGGATGGGAAATAATGATAGCCAACAGTCCTGAATTGCATTCGCTCCTCTGCTGCCCTTTGATGCAAAGTGAAAGTAACTTTCTCTTCCCACAATGCATTTGAAGCTCTGGTTATTTTTAAAAAGCACCTGGTGGGTTGGCCCTTTAAGGGTTCCCGTGAATTTACGGAGGAAGTCTTACTTTATGAATGAGCCGGCGGAATTTGCCCCACCCACCCGACCACCCCGCCTATTACGTGCCAGGAGGGGGCGGAGCTGCTTCCCCCCCCAATGGTTAGTCTTAAAGGGCCCGCGCTTCTGGTGATTTCTAAGCCCAAATCAGAGGCACGCACTTTCGACTCCCTCTCACCGAGCAGATATTAATCCTTCCCTGCAGTTTCGGGAGTTCCCAGTGATCGCTTGTAAAATTTCAGATTACGATGCAGCTGTTAAAAATAAATATAGGATACCCCATGCTGGCTTGATTTTTCCAGGGCTAAGAACAGCCAAGGAAACTAAAAATGATCCAGAACAATGGTGGAAAGATCAAGATATTGTTGCATTTTTTATTTATGTAAATATATAGTGCCCCTCCTTCCTTCCTTCCTTTCATTTGCCATCCCATTAATTTTAATTGTTTAAACCAGTGTTTCTCAACCTTGGGAACTTTAAGTTGTGTGGACTTCAATTCCCAGAATTCCCCAGCCAGCATTTAATAAAATTTTAAACAAAGTGATTGTGCTGGCCCACATCCTTCTTTCAAAGCCTATTTCTTGCCTCTCAGTGGTTCAATTACCATCTCTATAAGGTTGCGTTCACACAACATGTTTAACTTGGCTACTTGTTCTAATCAATTTTCTGGGTGTGGATAATCCAATGCTAAACTAACCAAATGACCTGGGTTTCCACCACACATTAAACCAGAACAAAGCCAAAACAAGGATTCAATTCTCCATGCTTAACATGTGCAAACACAGCCCAAATGTTCCCATTTCTAGGCCAGACAAACCTTGACATAACAACCAGTTCTATATGGTAAAACAATGATTCCCAACCTTGGCAACTTTAAGATGTGTGAACTTCAACCCCAAGAATTCCCTAGCCAGCCATGTTGGCTGGGGAAT